CAGGGTCCTTGAAATGAACAGAAATGACGACTGAAAACTTTAACTTGAGATGTTTGCACATGACAAATCTCTGCTTAGGTGGAACAGAATTTTGATCAGAGTTTTTAGTCTTTTTAGCTAATTGATGAAACTCGCCGATATTCTTTTACATCTACGAACAAACTGAGCGACTGAATATTATGTCTGTTACGTCAATATTAGTTCTGATTAACAAGTTTCGTTTTGACCATCTGCCTTATCGCACTTGTCATCTTCGACAGGAGCCAAAAAACGCGGTTTGTTCGCTTACGTCGGATCGAAGTCGTTTTGACATTGGAAGTCATTTCTGTAGGCTAGTAAATGTTAATCTCGATGAGTTTCATTGCTTGGCTGATGAAAATTACAAGCTTCGACTGAAACTTGGTCTTATGGAAACAGAAATTTGTTATGTGTATATATTCTAAGAAAAATTTTCAATCGTTATCTATTTATCGCACGGAGTCAAGTTTCTCGGGATTACTGCAACCATGACTCAGTGACCTGGCACTTATTAAACACTGACGTTCAATAGCTGTAATAGCTGCATCATACCAATTATGGGCGGTTGCAACGTTTTCGAAATAGCCATTCCTATCATTTGTTCAGACGTCGCGTGAATTGTCTCTGCCTTCATGTTGCCTACCACTGCTTCTTCGTTTTAACTCGATTGCATCCTTATTTCTCAAGCTTATTCACGAAGCCATGGATTATGCGCATGTGAATTATTATTTTCGTTAATCATATTTAATATTAGAATTTATTGAATAGGCGTTAAGATGGAGGGGAAAAACGAGTTTGTGTTTATGCAGAGTTTCTTATAACATTACATTCTAATCTAAGTTACTGTATTATCGGTGCAAACAAGATGCCTGATGTAAATTGTGATGTAATGTACTCCGTGTTACCCTTTCGACGCCAAGGTTTGTCGTTGTACAGTGCACATTGTACAAGGTGTGCCGCGATCTGCGTACATACCTAAGTGATTGTATCGTTGGAACCAGCACAACTTTCCGGCGGGCATTATGAACAAGTGACAAAGCATTGGTTTTGCTGTTCCGATGTGTCTTCCTTCAAGATTCGAAGCCCCAATGGTATGCCGTTTACGATTGTTCGCAATTTAGTTGTTCTAAAATTATGCAGTGTTTCTATGTGAATTTAAAGTTTTCACTGTACACATTTAAACCGTGTGCGTTGCATGTTGTATTTCACGTGCTTTACCAGTTGACGGTTATCAGCTGTCGCGCTTGTACCACTTATGTTAATAATGGCCTATTTCTCCCAACTTTGACTGTCCTATTCTCCTGATGTGCGCCAGATTTTAGATAGTGAAAAATTTGTGCCGGTTTCATTACAATTTGCAGTTGCTGCAATGTATCCTATTCTGGTACGGTACTTTCGGTGCTGACTTCTGCGGACACGCGGAAGTTTACTTACTAACAGGTAGTCGTTAGGCATTTATATGACGCCGGAGCTGGCTGACATTTCGACTGGTTGCGTTAGCGTTGGCGTAGTTTTGATGTAGAAATTCGGGGATTGCTTATGTCGACGTCGTTCTTGTTCAACGTCGTCATCGTCTGCTGTCTAAATACCGCCCGCAAGATGCAGCGATGCACAGCGCAGCTGTTTACGACGTTTCGCACCGGCGATGCTGTCAGCGTAGCCGGAAGAAGAAAGATTATGGTTGTGGAAGACGCCCAGTTGTCGGTCGGTTGATCCTCCGTGTTTACAGGATTTGGCCTCTCATTTTCGGTGCTCTTCGAATGATGCTGGTTGATTCCGGTCACGAATAACTGCGTTTTTGCTTCAGCCATGTTACGGATGCGGTGACGGCGTGTGACTTGCCTCGGAAGCATATTCGATCGGTCTTTCACGCTTCTTCACTTTCGTGCCCTGTCAAAATTTCCGTAGTGTTACGACATTCCAGACCAGGGTGGGGACCGTATGAGGCGCTAATGGAGTAAGCAAACGGCTGTTCTGAGTCTCGGCGGTCATTCGCTGCTGTTGTCATGCGAATTTGGCCACCGATGATCATGTTCACGCGTTGCTTTCAGCTGTCGTCAACCATCACCCCATATACAAAGGGTTTATTCGTGATGTCCTGTTTCGCCTGTAACTTCTTTCGAACCCTCCGATGTTCCCCTAGCCTTTCAACTGTACCCGCCTTTCTTGTTCATGTCAAATCTATTTTTTACGCATTATAACTGGTAGTGGTAGTTTTCTTCCAATAATAAATTCGATACGCGTACTGCGGTGTTCACCGGCTATTCTGATTCTCTACATCATGTTGTTCATGCTCTCTTTGATAGAATTTTGAGTGTTGCCGCCTCAAAATCTATCTTCTAACAAGTTTTATTGAATGGAACCATTTCAGTGCCCCTGACATTTGCCTCACTGTTCTACTCCTTGTCGTGCAACCTTTTATTCTCGTCGTTGCTCATGTCGGCGATGCGGACGTTTTCCTATATCTTATAGACAATTCAGTTTTTAGTGTTGAGTATTGAATTCGTTACAGCCTGCATGTTATATTATTAGCCGTACTTAAACCAAATGAAACAATAATGTTGAATGTGATCACATGGCACATATGTAAAGGATGTTTAAATGTATATGATACGAAAAGACTCAGCTAGCTCTTAATAACGCTCTTAATAACATATAAATAGCGAAACGATTAAAATGTGGAAAAAATTTTCGTGTGCTGAAGAATGAGACTGCGTCGGGTTTCTACCGTTCCTCACGAGAATACATAATTTTCAAAGATTTTAATCGCTTTCATCCTTTTTTCCCTCAGAACTCTCTAAAGTTTAGTAAAGTTTCAGGCTAAAATTCAAAAGCCACATCATCTGCTTTGTCGATTGAACATAGCGGTGGTATCGGTCATGACTGCTACAGGCAGTTCTACTCAAGCATAGCCACTGACTTATACAGTAATGTCCAACTTTTGATACTCATCGTACTTCGAAAGCGTGTCCAAGCTGACTCGATGAAGAATCAAAATATTTGTTGTGTGTGAGTTCAAACAGGGTGAAATCGCGACACACACTAGTCAAATAAAATAGCGAAATATACCGTCCGAACCAAAACTGGCCTATGTCGCAAGTTATTCTTCCAGGACTGTCAGGAAGCTCTAGGAGCAGTGCATTCTACTGGAAACGAAATGAACCATTGGAATATCGGTATTCTTTACACTACCATGATGGACGCTGGCCTTCATTTTTATACCATGAGCCAGAAGTGGCATTTTTTAAAAGTAGGTTCGACAACAGTTGTGTGGTAGACATAGTATTTAGTCTCATGTTTCCATCGCACAAAATGGTACTGGTTTATCAATCTTACAAGGAAGAAAGACGAGTGACCCCTGGCCGCCGCCTGAAGTCCGGTCCTCTCCCTGTTACTCGTCCGACGCTTGACCGAATCTGCGATCAGGGCACTTTTTAACCTCAGCTTCGATTCATGGCATTCGGAGCGGTAAAATTAAGACAGTGTCTGTAACCGTTTTAGTATAAATCTCCCTTATAGTTCCATGATTCCATGACATATATAACGCGCCCTATTTTGGTCGAGTTTATGGTATTCTCCGTTTCTTTACCACTGGCAGGGAATGCGTTTTTGTTTATCTTTTGTGAGTCAACGTCTACCGCTAGTTAGTAGATCAGTAGAGCTTCTGAGTTCTACCTTCTTTCCCACATACTGTGACTCATTTATCTGCCGTCAGCGATCTGCT